ACGGCGTCGTCACAGCTCTGCGACAGTGGCTGGAATTTTGAACCTCGACGTAGGTAAGATCTATGATCCTCGGAGGCGACAACGGACAACTATCTGGCTCCGTGTCTGATGTTTATCCTGGTCCCGTTTTATCGACCTCTCTTCTTTTTACCGCAAAAAGCAACCTGGCGGGTTCACGGCTCGCTCCCCGTACGGGAGATGACAGGGCCCTTTTTTCGCTTGTAGAGCAATTCTCAAGGATCAAGCTTGAACTACTTTTGTAAAATCAACAAATAATAAAAGACGTTAAAGCTCTTGAGATGTTCAATCAAATAAAATCAAGGAAAGTACAAGGCAAATAAAAACAGACACTGCTGTTAATTTCATTATTGTTAATTTCACTCCAAGAACAGCGTCTTTCCTTTATTCTATTTCATCATGACAATATGATTTTCAAAAGCTTTATTTTACAATAAGATTGCCCTTCTATAAAGTTGCTACGTAAAGGGAAAATGTAAAGCGTTTAACAAAAGCGACTGTGTGTGTATGTAACTCCGCTGCAATCATAGGAATCAATCGAAAGCAGTCAGCAGTTCGTCTGGCTGAATGACACTCGATCTCGCTAAGCATCCTACGTAAATACCTAGTGTCCTTCGCAAATCTTATCTGCTTTATCCGTAAAACGCTGCGACTGCGTTTCGACTTGTCTCGACAAAACTTTCAATAAACGTGATGCTCTTTCGTTCTGTCGAAGACGAATAATCGACGGAATTGCCGTCGTTGACTCTAACGGGTGGTCCCAGAGACCCTCTCGACGCTTACGACGACGACGACGACGACGACGACGACGACGACGGCGACGGCGACGCGGCTGTTGATGATGATGATGAGGTGCGAAGAGACGCCCCGGCAATTACCTCGGGCCAGTTTCTCCTCCGCCGCGTCCTTCCTTTTATACCACTCGCTTTCTGCGTCCTCTCGTTTAGTCATTATCGTTCTTTGCGGTTTTCTCGTCGCTTCCGAGTCTCTTCCGCACGTTACCGTATCTCTCTCTTTCCCCGCGTTCTTCCTCTCGAAGAGAGAATGCGTCGAATATCGTCGACCTAGCGGCAACGCCGATCAGGACGAACGTTCGCGAACATGCCAGTGTACGCGAACGTCGCTGTCCCTGCGGCTTTTCAACGAGCTCGAAAATAGACGGGGTAGAGTGTAAAACGGAGGAATGGGATGAAGGCAGAGGGGGGACGATCATCGCGAGCGTCGACGGTGGGCGCCGCGGTCGAACAAGAGCAAGGAGGATGACGAGAAGAAGAAGAAGAACAAGAAGAAGAGGAAGAAGAAAATGATGATGAAGAAGAGGGACAGAGGTGCATCGTGGAATGCACGTTAGCGACGTAGAAATGCAGTCGAGCGCGCGACGGACGAATGGCAAAGGTAGATGGATAGGTAGATACGACTTGTTTAGAATGTGAGACAAGCCCCCCGAGATTCGGTGAAAAAGGGGGCTACAGTTGTTAACAAGATCGGGTTCGGCGATATATTAAAGAGACGGGGAGATTAGTTGATCAGTCGAAAAGATACAATGGATAGGAGAGAGACGCCTGCAAGCAGGAAAAGACGTGCTAGAAATATCCATGATGGGTTATATTGAGCAAATAGTTCATTGATAATAACGATAAAGATAGAAAAAGAATAATATAGTTGCGAAAATTTTGTGTTAACGTGCCAATGATAGTAATGCCAATAACGATTATCAGTAAAGAAAGCATATATTAACGATAAAACATTCAACTCCCACTCCAAGAAACTTTACATCCTTGCTAAATTTAAAACAGTATACAAGGTAACGGCCCTAATTATGGTTCACTTAAGATTAGAATATTTTTCATTAATTCATATAAAGAAAGATGATAAAAATAGGCAGTTTTTGACCCACCGACGGAATTCCTCTGCATGTACAACACAAATATTGTGTAAACAAAAACAAACTTTATATTTACTATTCGTCTCTCAAGATATAAATGTATCAAGAAATGTACAAACTGATTTTATTTTGAAGACAAAAATATAAAAGTTAAAAAGCACTTTACTACTGACAACTATTTCAATAATTAATAATAAATCACGGTTTCTATAACTGTTTCTAAAAGATTCAAAAAACAGTTTCTAATAATTAGTTAAAATTCCGTCAGTAAACTAAAAATAGCTAATTTTTAACATTCTCCCTTGCCGATCAAACATTAAAAAAAGAAACTGT